TTTTTCATAACTTTTTATCACCTTTTAAGCACCTTTTTAGCCATTTTTAAGTAACTTTTATAGTGACTTTAAGACTGGTTTTTGTCACCTAAAAGTCAATGCTTTAATCATTATCATTTAAATATTAAGATCCAAACATTTTTTAACATTTCAACTTTTTATTTCGTTCTAAAATTTAAAACTTTAAACTCAAACAACCATTGTTAAAAAACAAATTATTATATTACTATTGTAATAATTAACAAGTCTAAATTTTTGCATGCGTTATTTATTGATATGAATTTAAAAAAATTTACTCATATAATTATAGAAATTAATATAATTAATCAATATTTATAAGATAAAATAATTTAGATTTTCATTAAACATTATAAAAATATATCAATAAAAATTATGTACGTTAAAATTATAATAGCCATGTGGTGACATATTAGATTCTGCAAATGTTCCTGTTCATAAGGTTGGTAAAGCCATCAATTGTACACTGTTGTTGAGTAAACACTGTGCTGCCATGATTTAGCCTAATATTATTCCAGATTCTCTCCAGGTCTGCCGCATCGGCTGCAGTACAAGTGGTCTATACGACATAATAAATGTACCATGGTTAAATATTAAGTTAATAATTTGGGTTACAACAATTGCATAAATTATATTCATAACAAAAATTATGGTTAATTATTATGGCCCCGGTCAAGTGAATTATAATACAAAAAATTAATTAGTGTAACAATTAAAAATATGGTGGGTCATATTTACCCTGTAGTGGGCTCTGAAACAGTCGATCTCGTCCCACAACACACAGCAATAGTATTGCTCCGTTCGTAAGTCCCTAATAGTCTGCCGACAGGCGCCGTTGAATAGTGTGGTCATACATGTGTTGGCATTGTTGCCACCCGTGCCAAACGTGTCCACCAATTGGTGAATGGCGCCGCCCTGAACGGCGCAAACCACCACAATCAATAGGGCCAATTTGATCAACATGTTGTTACTAGTTATTAATAATCGCTTAACTTTATAAGTAAGTGATTTAATAATAGTTGCTGAAATAAGTAACGCAGTGCTCTGCTATTTATATGCAAAAAATGTGCTGATACTATTATAAACTATGATACATAGTTAAAGTAAGCCACCGTGATAAAATGTTTTTTTTAAATCCGCGACTCAATGCCACGTCTCAAGACAATTAGTAACTGAGAACAGTGCCAACGCGCCTATCCAGTACTCTGGCCAAACTGTCCTGGTATCAATTTTATATAACGGTTAATAAGCATGTTCAAATGTTTCTAATGGTGGTGTCCGCATATTCTGACTAAATAAAACTTTTCAATGATTATGATATTTGGGTATAATTTTAATTTGCATAAAACATTGTCATTAGACTAGGGTTACCTGGGTACTGTAGGGCTTTTGGTATCATTCTTTAATAATTCATAATATTAATTTATCAATATCGTTTACATAATACGACCAACGCATTGTTTCGCACTTGATTCTTTTACCTCATACTAATTTGATAAATTTTGAATTAAAATACCATGTTGATAAAAAATTAGTATATTATGCATTTACAAGTATAATTGTCCAACATTTATATCACGTTAACATTACTGTGTTGTCTAGAGATATCACGTGCTCAAAATTTATCATTTGACCTAGTGATTCAAAAATTACAATTGTTGAGTGTCTGTGGCGTACCGGTGCAGATAGAAATTATGCAGGCATGTTGTTTATCACATGCACAAATATGTAAGTATAATTTCGTTGTTTTATTTATAGATTTTTAAATAATAGCATGTGCTAACATGTGCCTAAATATTAATTAGTTTAATTTAATTATATATATACAGTCTGGCCCCGAATTTGGCATGTCATTGGTGCTGTCAAAAAGTAGTGCCAAAATTGGATTCTGCTAAAATCGGGTACATTAGCAGTGCTAATGTGACTCGCCGGTGCTAGAAAAACCTTATGCTAAAATCGAATTCTGCTAAAATCGCGTGTGCCAAATTCGGGGCCGTACTGTATATATAATAAATTATTAATAATAATATATAAAGATATTAAATCAAACTATGTCGGTGCTGTTGCTGGTACCCCGACACCGGCACCAATATTTCAATCACTAATGTGAACGTTATATAAATGCATAATAAGCTAATTTTTATCAACATAGATGTTTTGTTAATCATATACTGTACGTTAAATAAAATGCATGATTTAGTTTTAAAAAATATTTTTATTATAATCAAAATGAACAGAACAGTTAATACTGTAAATGCTTTATCAAAAGCAAAAGTGTTATTTTATTAATTTTAAAAATGTTTAGATGTTTATTATAAAACGCATGCAAATAAAAACAATAAAACAATCCTGTTTTAATTTTTATTAAATGATTGTCTTAAAATTTTTATGCTGAATTAAAGTTAATAAGTGACTCAACATGTTATAGGAATATAGTCTTGTAATTGTAATATTTGTAATTTGCTATATCATACACGTTTAAATGTTGTGCAATTAAAAAAATATCATTACATGCACATTTTAAAATTATTTAAAGTTGCAAGGACTTTAGTATAGTTTTGTCCATAATTATTAAAAATATAATACTGATTATCGCAACTATTTTATAGATGTATAACATTAACTGAATAGAGGTTGTTTTTTGTTACCCTTGCACATTCACTACTTTTATAAATCTGAATATTTCATAACTCACCAAGTCCTGGTTTTAGTTATAAACCAACGTAATACCAAGCTAATATATAAGGAAATATTCAACAGGCAATATAATTTTACATTTTGAGTTTTGTGTTTAAATTATTTGATTTGGTATTACAAGTGATGGCATTAATAACAATGTCTTTATTGTTTGGCACAACACTTAATTCATTATACGTGTGGTATTTGGTAGCGGCTGTTGTGGCCATTCTGATCACGTATACTTATTTGTGAGTATATTTAAAGCTATAAATTTAGATAATATAAATAAAAAGTAGCAAGTTAATTTGATGATATTTTTACAATTACGTAATTGCGTTGATTGTTACCTATTTTGTGTTATGCAAATTGAATAGAAATTGTTCAAAATATTGTTTTACAAAAATCAATAGTTTATAGTTTTGCATACAATTATAAAACATTGTTAATTAAAATTATTTTTTAAAACCACAATTACCATATGAATAATGTAGTTTATTTTAAAAAATATCACAATTTGTTAACATGTTGTCTTTTAGTGATTGAAAATGTTGAAATATTAGGAGCTGTTAGTGCCGGTCCAGAACCGGTTCCTACAGAATAATGCAATATCAATATGCAATACATTAAACATATTAATAATATTATCATTACAATAACATATTAAATTAAACTAACTTTTTAACAAATTATAGTAATGTAAACATATTATTTTAGCTAAATTTTATTAACATTAAAATCACAATACTAGAGCCGGAGCCGCGGCTCCAAAATTTCAATCACTATTATGTTTGAAAATGACAAAATTAAATAAACTATATCAGTTGTTCGCTTATGACTTATGGTGCCCGTTGGCATTACCTTGATTAATATTAATTTTGTGTATAATTTATAGAAAATATTGTCGTTTATATAATTACTGGAAAGACCGCAATATCTCGGGTCCAAAAGCCATACCATATTTTGGCAATTCTTTAAGTCTATTACTGACGGCGAAGCCATATATAGAGATGCAGTGGTATAACAGATACGGCCGACTCTACGGGTAATTATAATATTTTTAAAACAATATTTAATATCAGTCAGGAAATTCCAAAACAGGCTTAACTTTTTGAGTAAACTTTACATATTTTATGCTAGTCACTTTATAATGGTTGATTCAATGGTTGAATTCAATACTAAAATTATGATTGAAACTAATGAAAAAGTTAAGCCTGTTTTGGAATTTCCTAATAGATATAAATGTTTATTATATATTATATATACAGTGACAATTTGCTATGAAACAAAGCTACATCTACTGTGTATTGCAATGTTCGTTTCGCTGCAATACACTTTGTATGTGTGCACTGCTAGCACATGTATTGCCGTGAAATGCGCATTACAAACCACTTTAGATGTAGAGACGTTTCATAGCTAATTTTCACTGTACACTTTATATTCACTTTATAATTGATATTGGTATTGTGGCATAGTTTGTATTACTCAAGTAAACGGACGCTAACAGTGGCGGACCCGGCGCTCGTCAAACAGATACTGGTGCAGGAATTTGACAAATTCCGGAACCGAACGCCAGAGTGGGGCCAAAAAGATGCGCCAAACTATCCCAAACACATCGCCACCGCTCGGGACGGCCACTGGAAACGGCTGCGGCTCGTCATGAGTCCCACATTCACTCCG